AAGGATGTTTCATGCTAACTGTGCATTTTATCCATATTAAAGTAAATAAAGCCAGCTCATTGGGCAAGGAACATTTGGTAATGCAACATGAGTTGCCATTATGCCTGGATTATCAAGACTGAAACGGCATGCGCTGTTAGGAAACCCTGGATGTTTTCAAATGCCGAGCCATGCCACTGAAACAGAGACTTCCATGGGCTCTGCAGCAGGAAGTAGCCGTCACTTACTGACAAGCTCCACAATATTTTCCAGAGTGAAAACACTGGATTTTACCTACCAAGATACAGCCACTACTCCACCATTGAGCTGCACTGGAATAAGGAAGCTACATGTTTAAAAGTAAAAAGATGGATAAAAACACAGCTAAAAATAAATGGGAAGTTGCATCTCCCCTGTTCAGCTTATCATACTAATCACCTAGGACTAAAAGCAGATTATTTAAAGCCTGCCTGATAACAATAATGACCTTGTGTGCTTTCAAAAACACTCAGTGGTGTCCCATTCCTTGAAATTTCATATTTTAAAATGAAATTTTATCTCCAGTAGAGGATCTTCAATATACCAGAAGTTTCATGCCTAGACATGGCAGAATAAAATGACCTTGTATACTTAAGTGCTCCTGCAATAAAGGAAAAAAGCATTTTACAAGTAATTTTGTAAAAGTTTGACAATATATATATTTTTTTTTTAAATAAAAATCAAAGTCTCATCAGCCAAACAGATCCTGGCAATGGCTTTATTGTTGCCTTACAAGTTGAACTGCTGATACTGACAAACTTCAAAACATACAGGGCAATACAATACAATACCTAGAAAAATGCAAAGTGGTATCTTTGTGTGGAGAAGCCTATGCTTCAGATGTCCTGTGGAAAATTTTAACATCGCATCTCTCAATCTCAAATGAAGTTCCATACTTACCAAGTGAATTGAATGAAAAAAAATATGATTTCAGTAGGGCAAGTTTATACTTATTCTAATGAAGTAGAATGTTAAAAAGCTCGTTTCAACAAAATAGACTGGATGTCAGATAAAAGACAAGAATGTTATTTCTCTTTCTCAATAATTTGTAACTCTTTAAACCCTGGGAGATATCTGGTAATTAAGCCTTTGTTTTATAAGGCTTATAAGGTTATTGTAACATTGAGTGCTTCTGATTTTAATGCCTTGCAGATAAGATAGGTGGATTTGAAGGACAGTAACAAATCTGCAACTGAACTCAGAATTATTACTTTTTTTTTTTTTTAAATACAGGAAAGATAATGAATGGGTGTTATAGCCCTTGAATTTCAGCAGCTGTGGCAGTGGTGTAAAAGCTTTGAATGGTTTCTTGCTAGTTAGGTCAGTCAGTAAAAATTATCAGTACTATTCAGTTAAGTAAGACAAGAAGCCACTGTAATGACCTGACCTGATATTTTTAACTCAACTTGCAAACTTCCATATTTGGGGGTGGGGAGGGAAAGGATGTTCAGATTTTTTTTCATGGAAGGTCAAGAACAACATGGCAAAGCAGCCTCTCGTATCCAGCCCAGAAATCTAAACCCAGCAAGATGCCTGATACCACAGTAGTAGGCAAACAGTGCGTCTCAGCTGTCAGACATCTTACTCGGTAAATAGTCTTCCCAGATTATTTGTTGATGCTAGCTAGTAAGGGTACATCTACTGAATTTATAGATCCACTTCCAAGAAAAGGTAACTTTCTTGCCAGGACATGAAAAGGTCCTGCAGAATATCCAAATTCTCTTCCTTCCGTTATTTGGCCCTATTAAGTTAACAAGAAATACAAACTCTTCCAACTTGGTTGTTGTTAAAGTTCTACAACAGGGCTGCTCTGCTACAGCCTAGATTCTCCCCACTTCATATACAAATTGCAGCTAATTAGCAAACCCCATTAGTTCTATTTCAGAAGTTGACCTCTAAGGCAGCTTCTGTCAGACAGATACCACCAATCTTCCACAAGCAGTCTATTCCAACTATAGTTGCACTCTGCTATATGAAAGATTACCTTTATCCTGGCCATAGCCTTGTGTAATGATCCACTCATGACCCAGGCAAGACTGGAACACACTAGGACTGCAATAGGCTTCTCCAAAAGCATTTATAAATCTAGCAGTTTGAAGAGCAGAGCTGCATAGTTTTGACATGCTCATCCTCAAATCAGTGTTCTGTTGCGTTTATAGCGTTATATATGCAGAGCCTATCTAAAGCTCATTGCAAGCTAAATTAAACCTCAAAATATACTAGTACAGTTATGTATCTTAACAAGTGACAAAAGCATTATCATAACGTTATCTTTTAAGGAAACTAAACATGGCTGTTCCGAGCGATTCCACTAACCATACTTAACAAGAACAAGAAAGATGCAGTTCTGAGAACTTACCAGGACACTGCAGTGCCAGGGTAGACCACAGAGGCTAATTAATCACCTTTCCTTCCTAGCAAAGAAATACTTCTCCCTTCCTCTCCTTCTCCTCTCCCCGCCCCCAAGTCTCCCTTACTTCTTTTTTTTCCTTATCTTTAAGTATAGTCTTAATAATGCTTCTTGCTGGTTCTCTTTTGTTTCTTTTTTCCACTATTGCTTGTTTAAAAGCAGAGATCTGCAATCTTTTAGCAGTAACGCTAGCTTTAAATAGACTGATGCATGCTAGGTGGCCTGCTTCTTTTGAGGTGGTGAAAGCAATGCTAAAAAAATGGACTAGCAAGTTCTTAGAACATCTGCTACCCAAATGGCTGTAGGACTCCCAAGAATCAGAGAGGCCACATACCACTGAGCTGCACAGGCACAGATATATGCAATTAAAAAAAAAAAGTTATTAAATTAAAGAAAGGTATCTCTCAGCAAGTATTAGCCTGCCTGCCTTTGGCAAGAAGCAAGGTATCAGAGAGGAAACCAGAGAAAGTCACTGCAAACTCCTATCATAGTCATCTTAACAAAACGGCAAGGACTCTCAGGAGGCCACATCCCTTTGAGGGTTAGCTTCATCAGCTCCCCGATCAGCAAACAAGCAATTACTAGGAGGTATGTTAGGAACCCCATTGGTACCAGTGATTTACACTTAGTTACTACTTTAAGGCACTCAAGCAGCGCCACATAAGATTAACAGCCACTTGCTATTTCTTTTTTTAAGGTATGTGAGACAGTCAGGAGAGGATGACTGGTGACCAATTCACATTCACACTGAAACTTTTTTCCTGCTAATATGCAAGTTGCACTTACAGTTTATGTTTTCAAAGCTGTGTCAAGGGGAGCTCAGCACTCATATTTGTGACAAGTAGGGGATATGGAAGATTAAAAGTTTGCTGTCTTGAGAATACAGCATTTTATCAAATTATTAAGCAAGCTTATTTTCAATAGCAAGGGTAGCTCCAGATGCCATAGACACAGGAACATGCCTTGCTTGGTGTTCAGGGGAGACGCTGCTATTATGCTCCACAGTCTGAGGCAATGGCAGAACCCTTCCGATGAAGGGACTTAGTGAGACAACATTGGTTTCAAAGCCATCTCTTGTCATTAGAGATAGGACAGCAAAGGGTTTCCCATAAAAACAAGAATTGTACATTCCACTTGAGGAACTAAAAGGATGAAGGAATTCCCTCTATCTCTTCTCAAGGCTATTCTTCTAGACACATTGACTAAACAACCATTTTTGAGGAAAGGAAGATATTTAAATACTATGAGCAAACGATTGCCAAGATGGGGGGAAAAGTAGTGCCAAAGAACTAGATCCTACTCTGCTCATGTAGGAGCTCAAAGCACAAGAATTAATCGACTACAACAAGCAAAATTAAGAATGACACAGATGAGCTTGTGTACAGAGAAAAGTCTCCGGCATACACAGTTCTGTTGGTGACTGACAAGGTATTCAGAGTTTGTCTTTTCTATAGTTATAGTTATTGCCTGAGCAAAGGAAGTTAAACTCTTAAGGCAAACAGTACACCCATAGACTTTTTTTCTCTGTTGAAACTGCTAAGACCAGGAGCTTCAGTCAGTTTCACCAGCAGCTAAATAACAAGTCACTGCACAGATTAAAATCAGAACAGCAACAATGTGTACACTGCACCTCTCAGTCAGACAAGGAGAGCAGAGCTTGACTAATGTCCTGTTCCATGACTACAAAGGAAGGGTTTTCAACTTCAGCTTGAACTGTCACAAAAATGAAAAGCAAAGTACAAAGGCACATAAAGAAGAATTTTATCTGTAGCCTTTCTTCTGAGAGTTATCAGATGCTATTAGCTGGCCACTGTCTATGTCTGGATGCCTTAAGGAACAATACAATTAGTAGGTTTGGAGATCCCTCTGAGGGCAAGAAACTCACAGCAGCTCTAAATGTACCATTTCAGATCAGGGCTTAGAAGTCAGTGAAAGTCAGTTGTCAGTCTTCTTCCTCCCACCTGTTGTACATAACAAGGACTTCTATAGAATCATGCTCATCAGCATTTTTTCCTCCTGAAAGAGACTCAGGAGCCATATGCAGGATAGGTTTGCAACCAAAGACTGAGAAACGGCAGTAAATAGGCATTGCAAAAATTGGCCAGCACCTTCTACATCAAAAGTGGCTCAATTCATGTCTTCTTCAGTTTTGTCATTAGTATCATGGAGCACCTGGAAACTGAAATAGGATTAAGCACTGCTGTGCTTACTGCTACTTATTAACACGTGACTTCTACTACCCTAAGGAGCTTGCAGTGAGTCAATGGTGTTTCAGCACAACAGACTGGAAGGACAGTACAGGCTGAGCTGCACTGGACTGAACTCATCAAATGCATTTCTCAATCTCAGCTAGAACTCTTAAAGCCAGTTTAACCATACATGATGCAACATTTATGACTGAATATATCAATCTACATGAGGAAAAAGATCAAAAACTACATGAAATAATACGTAATCATGCTGCAGTAAAATAGTCACACTAAACTCAAACATACTAATAATGCACATATCAGATCTATTATTGAAATTTTTAAATATAAATATATAAAAGTTCAAAACATTTAGAACTTACCTGAGTCACTTGAATACTGGAAGTTGGAAAAAACTTGTGTAAATGTTCTGTTTTCTTCCTCCACTGAGGCTGTCCTCAACTTTTGCAAGCAACTTGCAACAACACGCCTTGAGTTTCATGTTGGTAGAGCTTCAACACTACCACTAAAATACTGTGTTGATTCACGTTGTAACTTCATGTATGCTCAGAAGTACCAGAATCTATTATATGATACAGGCTACATGGAAACCATGAGCAGCACACTAAAAACAGACTGAAAGGAGCAGGAGTTATGGATATCCAGCCTTCAAGCATCAGATCCACAGCAAAGCATTTCGTAACTATCATGTTTCCTACTCTGTGCTACCTGAATTCTTATATTCATTACCATCAACACCCATGCCATCGAACACTGGATGGCAGACACCAAACGAATCTATTTTAATTAAAATACATTCCTCTCTCTTAGTTTTAGTTTCTGTGCTCAGTTCTGTGTTAGTAGAAAAGGACACGCACCCACAACAGGATGGAACATCCTTCAGATGAACAAGAAACTAAAGTAATGAAACAGTTTGTTTCTAGGCACAATGTTCAAGGATTTACATGTTTGTACCACAAGTGACAGCTGCACAAGACTAAAGACATTGTCTGTCCCCTCAAGTATACTGCTTCAACATAACTGCGAAGGCAGAAAACTGAAAAACAAAAATTCAACATCTGAAAGAGCAAAGCTGGGTAAGTTCTGTAACAAACACGTTAGTATCAACTCAGGAAGTTGTTTGTCAGGTCACAGAGAATCTCCTTCCTATATCTGAAGCTTGACACAGGACAGGACAACTAGACTCTCCTGTAAGTTTCTTTGGCTATCAGAGGAATGGTGTACCACAGTACCGCCTAGCTGCTTACCAGCAAAACTTTCCACTTTCATCACTATGAGTCAAATCTTAACATAACTGAAATTGGTTGAGAAATTTCCACCAACTTCAATAATATCAAAGCATGTCCTGATATAAATACTATGCTTATTCTGAAGTATAAAAGTACCTTGAAGTTGTACAACCCCATCTTCATAATGCTGCTTCATTTATCCCTGCACTCTTCAAAGAGGTGCACTACTAAATTAAAGCTAAAAAGGTATTATTTAGAAAATGAGAAAATCCTTCCTATGCAAAAGGTAGCATATACATATATAATTTTTCCCCCCCCAACAACTGAAAACTCATTTTTACAATTAGAATCCATAAGATGCAAAACTGCCAGAATAACAGTGTTTTCTATTTACTTTCTACACAGTATGGAGCAAAACCTATGGAATGCAACTAATGAAGGAAAGCCTATTATAGAAAGATATGCATCTGTTTATAATAAATGTGGTTTTACCTAGTCCAAATTCTGTAAGATGACATACATACCAACACACACAGCTGCCCTACAAATAAGGTTTTGTATAAAACACATTGCACTTACATTTGCAAAGCGAATGAACTAGCCACACATGCAGCGCAGCAATAAACCCCCTCAGAGTCTCACCATCATTTCCTGTCCTTCGTGAATATGCTAGTAATTTCAGCCCAACCACAACTGCTCTGCACCACCCCCAGAACACAGTCGCACACACGTGCACAGATAACATTTCCAATTCCTAAAGTTGCCCTCCCAACCTTCCTGCATACAAACCCAGATATCATATGGAATGAGAAAAGAGGACGGAAAAGGGCCTAACATGAGGGGTCAGGGTAAAGGAAAAGAGAGTAAAAATTACGAACTCTATCGTTTAGTCAATGGGCTAGGAATTAGAATGAAAATATTTAGCTTAATCTATTAAAATACACACTGGAGATTATTAGTTAAGATGCATTTGTTACATTTTCAGTAAAAAGCTGGGAATACAAAAAATAAAAATAAAGCTCAGAGAAACTAAAAGCCGAGGTTACCCAAGGCTTTACAGAAAATGCCCATATAAAAATATGCTTTAAATGCCTGAACTTGACTTACGAGCTCTGTTGAAATTAAGTAGAGTGAAACATCATTCTGAACTCTATGATTAATCAATGAAAGTCAAGTGATGAAGCAACATCCATTGTTCCCTGTGTCCCTTTTCAAGAAAGCAGAGACTGAAGAACACCGTTACAATCATTAGAGGCCTAGAGAGGGGAAAAAAGAAAAAGCAGACACATTACCTTACAAGGAAAGATAAAATTATTAAGTGTCCTTCTCTATAGCCATTTCAGATATTCTGCTAGTAAAATAAATCAGCAACTGCCAGTTAAGAACATGAAATGGTTTTAAAGTAATGAAGCATTTAAATGCTCAAATTGCTTAATTTGTCCTCAAATGGAAATTACATTAACTTGGATACTGAACTAAAGTGAATGGATTTAATTAACCTATTTTCTTGAAGATGTGAGCAGAAAAAAAAAGTAATAGCAGTAATTTTTTTCTTACACTAGGACAGAGAACCACAGACTTAGACAAGAGCAACTGCTGTACCAATATCCTCAAGATTCCTGAAGTTACATTAGCAACCAGCTGGCTGCCAGTTATATTTTCCAAAGCACACAGCAAGAGGGGAAAATCTGCAGTGGCTCCCTGCTGAATGACTCCCGGGAAACTCGCCCCTCGAGCCTTGGGGCTTAGAAGCCGATACAGGATTACATTTTGGAAACAGATGCTTGGTTTATCAATTAACCTAGAATTAAATCCATTTCAGTGCCACAAAGAGCATACCGGGAATTAAATACGTTAACTGAGTCGTATTCAACAGCACACTCCCAAGGCAGTGAAAGATTTTCAAGTTGGTTATCAAGCTGAGAGAGATACACTGTGTTGTAACAGCACAACCGGGGATCTCGGCGGATTGCAAGAGATGAGGTGCTTCAATCCGATTTCTTTTCAGGACGGTTTAGCGGGGTAGGAAGTAGGCGCGCAGGCTGGCGGACCAAAACGCCGCGTTTCTAGCAGCAGCCCAGCTCCCGCCCGCACCACGGGCAGCGCAGCGGGATCGCCTGCCCGCGCCCGG